TGCCTGCCTGCGTCGTTGACATACATCTGCCTGCGTCGTTGACATTCATCTGCCTGCGTCGTCGACGTCTGTCCAAGTCACCGACGCTTGTCTGCCCGCGTCGACTCTTACCTGCTTGTCGACGTCTGTTTGCCCTGATTTCGTCGTCGTTTTCCAACCTGTCTCTTAAGTGGCTGTTGGTGTGGCTTTTTGACGTTTCTTTGCGACGTGAGACGTCCTTTCCCGGCTCGGAAGTTCCATAAGTTCAGCGCGCTTAGGTCGTCAACCACCTAAGGTAGACGGTTCGTTTTCGACGGCTCAAATTCCATGCTTGAGCTCGAATGGCACCTACGCTAACACCGTCACACCTTTTCTGAAGTCCTTGCTGTCCTCCACCTCTGACTATGTGTGACTTCCATCCGTTACATTGAAGCACGAAGTCTTAGCTGTACTTCACTGATAACCTGGCCCTGTGGCCTATCCTTTACCTACGGTGTTGTGGTCAATTATCGTCCACTGCTGATCTTCCTTCGCGATCCCTTCTGCTGCCGTGTGTCCGGCGCTCGAATCGCTTTCCACCGATGAATTTACCGTGCGGTTTGTTCCTTTTTACCGCGGCGTCTTGAGTTCCAGCTGTTCTCCACCGATTTCCGAACCCCATGACCTGGACTGTTAAAGTGGTGTCTTGGATGCTGTCTGTAACCTACCTCCATGACCTTCAACCTTACCCATGGCCTGCAACCTGTTCCGGTGACCCGTAACCTGACCCCGGGATAAGAGATGGGCCCATGATCTGCAACCTGACCAATGAACTGCAACCAGCCAACCTAGCCCATGATCTGGAAACCAACCAATACACTGGAACTTAATTATGTGGCTCAGCACCCTGGTGGCCGTCTGGATATCCTTCGCTCGGGTGGGGAGCGGGGTCAATTCGACCCCTTCTTGAGATCTTAGAAACTAAGAGAGCTAGAGACATAAAATTCCTATGGTGTGTTGATCTGTACGTGAACTCACTTAGATCAAGCTTTGAGGTTCTTAGGTCATGACCTTTGGGTCAAAAAATGTCAAACAAGGTCAAATTTCAGTCTGGTCTGCAAACAAGCGCGTGTTAAAACAGCGTCCGAAGTTTTAACCGTTTTATCGACCCTGGTGGTAACCTGCAACTCCCTTACGTCATCCTGAGCAGACTGAATGCCGCGGACATGACAAATCGGACAGCTTGGCAGCCAGCTCGTTCGCTAGTCCACTCGGGCCTGGCCACTGCTCGCTAAAGCCCTTTTGTCGACCTGAACCAAGGTGGGCCCACTGCGGGGTTAGGGGTCGCGCTCTCAACCACTGGTTTGCAAGGACACGGAAATTGTGGATAATAGTCTACATTGGATAATAGCCTACAAGCTGTTGGTGCATGGGGAAATCACTAACGCTACCGAAACGGTGCCTCGTAGGCAGCGGCAGCGTGTGACAACGCACGCTAACGCGCATAGCTTGCTTGAATGACGTCGGTTGTATTATGTGCGCGTCTTGTATCTCGTTACCAGAAAGTACGTAACTACGGAGCTATAACCAAGCGTCTTATGGTGTTTTGGTGACGGAACTGGACACAGGACGTGCCCAGCTATCTTGTTCTGCCGTCCGGCGTTGTAAGCCCTCTTCTCTCGAAGGCTAATTTCTTTTCATGTGCGAGACGCGATCTTCATGTATTCGGAGTCTGCAATGCTCAGGCTACAGCTGCTGTCCTGGGGTATCTTTCATCGCCTGCACTGAGCGACCGCAAACGTCCATGTTGGAGCCACACATCGGTCCCCTTCTGTGCATAGATCAGCAGTTTATTTTCCTCCCCCCCCCCCCTTCCAACACATACATATGCAACGTGCTGCCGCTTATCCTCGGGCTTCGGGCTAGTGATGGTATCAAACGGGTCGAGGTCCCTGACGTCAGACTGAGAATGCCAAACAAAATTAGACACTAAAATTTATATTTTATTTTATTTACATTCAAGATCGGGCTTCGGCTTTCACTGAACGTGATATTCAAAGATTGAGTAAAGATGATGTCGACGACGAACGTATTCGGTATGTTGTAATCATGTGCAACGGACATGCAATGTCATCATCTTTCGAAAGTGTGCTTAAAAAACGTCAGCGGTACGTAGCAGGATTGAAATAAGCTTTCGTTCGGCAGTGGGCATTGTCGCATGTCACTCCAAAGACTCCGATGATGTAAATAAGTCACTGCGACCCCAAGGATACAAGGTCTGCAGTTTGCACTGTCCCAGCAGTTGGCTTGGACCGTGATTCGGGATGGTACATAGCGCTGACATAAAATTATCGTTGGAGCGCTACCCCCCCCCCCCCCCCCCTCCCCCAAAGAAAATACACCGCAGCGAGGATTCTCCTACTTCAAACGCTGCTTTAGTGGCTGGGGCATAGAAATCATGACACTTGCGTGACAGTGTTCTGCCTTTTGCGGACGTGATTATTTCACCTTGACAACACCAGATAACTATCACGAGGCAAAGCTTCTTTGGCGTTCCCTATGTTGCCTTATAAGGATCATTAATGGCATGCGGTAACAAACATTAAACCACTAATCTGACGAAATTCCTAATTAGTGCCGAATACTGTAGACAATGGTAAACAATGTGCACATTTATATCAACGGAGTTTAAAGATAACAGTGAGCGTAACTATATCCACGGGTGGTTTCACCATCGGAGCTGTTTTCTTTAGTAAAAAAAAAATATGTGAAATAGTATTTCGCGCCAGTTGATCAGCTGAGTTGTCGTCATCAGCGGAGGACAGCTGGATCTCCTGACACGACACTGGCGGGACAGGCACTGACCAAAGCATCCGCCCAGGACAGACGCGATTTTCAGACGCGGGTGCAACATTCCATGTTACAAGGCCAGGTTGCAGATCACGGTACGGTTGCAGACCACGGGGTAAAGATGCAGGCTGCTGGGTCAGACTGCGAGTCAATGTGCTAATTGCAGGTCAGTGAGCAAGGTTGTTATAGGATCAGGTAACAGGTTACTAGATCATGTTGCAGGTCACTGTGTCAGGTTACGTGCCACTAGATCATGGGTTGCAGGATTTAAAAGCAAGATGCAAGTCACAGGGGCCGGTCGGATGTCACGAAGGCAAGTTGCAGGTCACGACGGGCAAGTTGCATGTCACGGGGACATGCTGCAGGTCACACGGACATGTTGCAGGTCACGGGGCAGATTGTAGTTCATGTGGTAGATTGCAGGTCACATGGAAGGTTGCAGGTCATAGAGCCAGGTTGCAGGTCACGGGGGCAGGTTGCAGGACGCAGGGACAGGTTACACGGCATGAGGCCGGTTACCGGACACGGGGACAGGTTACAGGTCATGAGAGAAGGTTGAGGGTCACGAGGCAGGCTGGAGATGAAAGACATCTGGAGCCCAGGAAACCGTTATAACAGCACAGGGTATGGAGTGCAGCAACCGTGGGAAAACAGCTTGAACTCTGGGCACCGCCGTAGATGGCCGGATCACAGCGTAAGGTCACCAACCGAAGGCAATTCCAGCTGCAGATACCGCAGAGACAGGGGAGGTCACGCAGTCAGATCAACAGTGGCCAAGTAGACTTTGTTCAATAAAAGGATGTGCCGCACGCTAGCATAAGGAGCCAGTGAAGGATCGATGGACCTTTTGCGTGCACAAATTGAAGCAATCATTTAAAATCAGAAGGAAAGAGATATTTAAATGAGACGGTAATGGGGAAAAACACTCAGCTTACGGATGGGGTAAATGGTGGTAATACCGGCCCCAGGGGCTCCACTTCCAAACGCCAATTTATAGGCAATGCGTTATGGCCGACGGTAAGTCAGTGTTGGTGTGTGGTCTGAAGTAAAGGAAAAAGAAGGGTAAAGTTAAAGATTTTCCCGTCAGCTCATACATCGAACGCTCCGTCAGCACTCATGACGTCACGCATTCTAGTTGACAATCGTGCTGACTACAAATCGAACAGGGCCGGATTGATGTCGATAAAGCTCACTCAAAGACACCTTAGGTGTTTTCCCATTTTCAAAAACACGGATTGTGCTTGGCATTACTGCTTTCAGAAAGTTTTATATCTTGTCCTCACTTTCCAGGCACTATTTTATTTTTTCACCGTCGTGAAATGGCTCAAAAAATGCATGTTATATAACTACATTATTCTATGGCGTTAAGCCTGTATCATCATTTTAGATAGAGTTGTTCCAAAGAAACAACAAGTCTCAGTTACGTCTGTTATGAAATTTCGTCTTCCAGGCCCTACATAAGTACGAAACTGATTACTTTTGCATTTAAAACCACCTTGGTGACACTTTATGGTCACTTTCTTTTCCTTCCTGGGCATATTTTGCAATAGCACCTGAAAAGTAAGCACACCCTCTCCAAACTGATGCCGATACATAGTGAAAACCTCAGAGCGTCCATCCTATTCTTATAGCTTTGTAATTCAATTTGAGCCTGCTACATGCTTGCACAGCATTTTGAATTAAAATGTCCTTATGATGAGCACCGTTAAATATCATCTCCTTTTTGGCATCCGAATTTGCCGATGCCGAAAAGCTTATGCGTCACAGGTCGTATCAGCTGTTACCGCCATGACTGATTGGTCATGAGGGTAGCTGGGGAGGGGATGAAAGTTGATGCTGGTGTCTGTCTCAACTCCACTCACCTCGACCCATCGTCTGGCAGGTGAGTGGCAGCGCATGGAGTTGGTACCTGGACAGGTACCCAGCGGGTGTTTACGTTGCTGTTTTTCGTCGGAACCGACATTTCTGTGGCCGTAAAATTAAGAGCCTGGGGCGGAAGTTAGAAAATTTTGCCATTTCATAGCTAGCAACTAAGTAGACTGCTCCCATACGCCAGGGATCGGATTTTCCACATCAAAACGCAAAAAATGTTAGTGAGGTGTGGTTTTTATCGGGATTTGCTGGACGCACGTAAAGTATTTCAAGAGAGAAGCAAGGCTTGTTTATTAGGGCGTTCACAAAAGTACAAGCACTTCAACCATGTTTCATTTATTCATTAATATATCCAACAATCAGAGATATCAACCACATGCATCATCGACCTTATCAAAGTTGTGACTGGTACAAGTCTTCCATGACAAATAATTGTTTATGTGTCGCATTATAGGCCGCACTGGCCGCAACCCACACATAGTTGCTGTTTGAGACTTTGTCCTTTGTGGTTAAGGCGGCCTGACGCGTAGCGCACAGCGCACAGCGAGCACACCGTGGCACTGCATCACTAAACCATACGTGCTTGATACTTATTGCATTCTCCGAGATGGTGAACGCCTTGTTAAAACAGATGCTCATCTTTGCTAAATGCTTTGATAAGCTGGTTAACTTACGGTAGCAATAATGTACAAACAGAATAGACACGCCACTTTTATCTGTGTTTGGCACGCCAGCTGTAGTCTCCTAGAGCCTGGTTCTTGACTCATGGGGTGTTTCTCCGGGCGCTGGTCCCGCAGAAGCCAGGTCTTTAGGTGTTGTTTCACTAGGTCCCGTTTTCGTCCCTGCAAGAGAATGTCCCGTAAGCGAGTACACACTCGGAGCGTGTCGGTGCAGTCCAATAGTGACTGTCGTGCGGAGGTACGCTTCATTTCAGCAGCGAGCATCTCGACTCCAACCAGCGAAAAGCGATAGCGCCAGATAACACAGCGTCTTTGATCAGGTTTTCGCCGTTTAATGAAATTGGGTCACAAGCATGTTAGTGTAAAGCAGATTGTCATCTAAAAGAACCTGAGCACAGCAAAGCAACGTGAAGTATCATCACGTGCATTGTGAAGTGTTCTGCATTTTACGAAAATGACATTACACCTGTCTTCGGAAGTGAAACAATAGCTGGTTAAGTGACAGCTAGCGTAGCAGCTTTCTAGCAAATGTTCTTACTTCTTTGTGGAAAGATGATCTTTTCTATGCTCATCATCGGAGATTCAAAGCAGAGGGAGAGGACGGCGGCGATCGCCGTGGAGACAATCAGGTTACTCAGGAAGGTGAACACCTGAAAAACAAACGTCGTCAATAAAAATTATTCAACTTAACGAAAGTGGCTTATGCTAGGGCACGGGTCGAGCGGATAGCGTCTTCGGTATCCACATGCGGCTACGAGTTCGAATCCTGACCACGCCATGTTTGCTGATATAAATAGCCAATACAGCTAATGCGGCTACTACAGTCGCTGGCGTTCAAACAAAGGATGAGCAGACACGCATTGCGTTCATTTCTAAAAGTCGTTAAACATATATTCACGGCCCGAAATATGTCATCTGCTTCGGCAATTCATAACAATTAATAGTCACTTTTGCCGATTCAAATATTCGTGTCGGCTTTGTCAACATTAAATCAAATTGAGCTTTAAACTTAACATTAAATCAAATTGAGCTTTACCGGAATTTGTCATATGAGACAACAGCAGAAATGTGAACAAACTATAGCCATGCATTAAAAATGGAGATTTAATGCCAATCTTCTCCATTCCCTTCCTGACATGTATTAAATGGCCTCTGACTGGATCTTGGCAGGTTCATGAAAGTGGCATTGCGTGTGAGATGATAAGCTTGAACCATCTTGGGGCAAATATCGTCAATAAAAAGCTTTCATTTCAAACATTGCTAACAATGTCGGCAAAATTTATTCTATGCCGATGACAAACTATGCCGATATTGCAGGTGAATTCTGCACCAACTGGATGAGGTTGACAGCTGTTCCCCAGCTGCGTGACCTAGCGGTCAAGAGCTTTATAATGTGGCCTAATAAAACGCAGATAAAGGCGACACACTATACGACAAGAATCGCTCCTCTCCTTGGCAAATAGGAGGCCAATATGTCAACAAAGACCACATCGTTTACGATCGCTGACACTCGCACGTCTTCAGGCGGCGAGTTCCATTGCCTAGATGCGCGATACATGAACGGCCAGCGCCCAAACTCAGTGCGGGCACGTGGCAGCTGCAGCTGCCACGGGCGTTGCTCGGGTGGCACAGGCGGACACGCCGGAGCGGAGCACTGCACACTCTCGTAGTATCTCTGGCGCGTGAGTGACTGTGAGAATATTGCGACTGACCATCAATATTTCGTTCACATGTCAGTTCTTCCATTTTGTGCCATCCTAGTTCGCGCAGAGTGGGCGTCACTCAGTCTTTGACCACGGTATTGCATTCGATACGGGCGTCAAAGTTCAAAACCTCTTGCGCTCGTCGCTTCTGCGTCACATTAAAGTCTCCCAATACTGACGAACAGAATCCTACAGGGGAAAACAAGTGTCTCGATCAAGAACTCATCAGCTTCTTTGGGAAGACGATATCGCATCCTGGCGAGACCTGTGAGAGTGCCGTAGCAGCGGCGCACGGTAATGGGGCGTGCTCTTCCCATGAAAGGCACGAATTGATGTCGACACCTAGAATCTTGAAGCTTTGTGATGGTTTGATTTCATTGTTGTCAAATGTGACCGAAAACTGACGGTCGGGTCTTGTTCATAGGGATTCAGTTAGGATCATCCCGTTCTTGAGAACATTATTTTGTCTATTTTTGTGTAATTTTTTCCAGACTATTATGACCAGAATAGTCACTTTTTACCACCAAGTTTTTTTGTACACGCTGTTTGAGCTCAGGAATATTCAAGAGCAAGCCGTGACCATGTGTCGTGATTCTTTGTCAAAACAAAAACACAAAACGAAACAAACAATTGCGGCAAAACACTCTGCCAGCGAGCCCACCCCGAGCCTCGTCACACAGCTCCAACAGATCTGGTGCTGGACCCTGCCAGAGACCGCCCTCGACGCGAGGTGACGCCGGAATCCCCGGCTCTCACGAAGCAGGATGGCCCCCAGAAGGCACTGCACCCTGCTCACCATGATGGTGTTGCCGTAGCGCGCCGTACCCTTGAAGGAGGAAAAGTACCAGGTCTGCACCTGCACGGCCACTAAGTAGGTGGTGTAGGTCAGTCGGCCAAGCGGGATGAAGCCTTTGAATGACAGCAGCATGTTTGCGAATCCTGAAATCGGTCAGTGCCAAGCGGCGGTCAGCGCGGCATCCTTGCACCAAGTCATAGGCTGTGCTCAGCGACGCCCTGATCCAGCCAGTCCTCAGCTTTGCAGCACGCATCGGCGTGGGGAACACTATTTAATTATTTTGAGGTGAGCCCGAGAGTAACACGTGCATGGTGACAGGTGTCCATGTTGGGTCTGACGCTGCATGATATTTGGTCCTGTCCACAAGTCAATGCTCGTATTTTTATGGGATGTAACTGTTAGGCAATTTTACTGACAACTAAAGTTGGCGACGAAAATGCGGGGAGGATGTATGCGCATTGCGATGAGGTTTTCAGGCTTGTTAGGGTAAACATACAGATTGCATCCAACAGAACACAAGCCGAGTCAGAAAATACCATGGAGTGATAGCATGGAGCTGTCCGGTTCCCACCGCCGGGCCGGACTCGAGTCTCAAATTGTTGTTCGTTATCTGGTCGTCCTTCATGCCTTGGAACGGGTCCCGGTCGTACCTCCGTATCCGTTGACGCAGGCGAACACCACCCAGCTGAGGGCTATGCCCCAGGCGAGACGGTGTAGCGAGCCGTAGGACACGGCCTCGGCTGTGGTCCAGGTGGCCGTCGGGTCCTTGTTCCACTGGTGCGTGCCGTACACGATCACCAGGCCCGTGGCCGACATCAGCGCCCACATCGCTACGTTGACGGCCTGCGGCACAGATGACGCCACCGGGTGAAACATAGATGGCGCTAATCCGACGCGGTGGCCACAGCTGGGGCGACTCATGACTTTGGTTTTTACGCACTCCATCTCGAATGCCACCTTGCTGCCGCAGCTTAGCAAGTTTAAACAACCGATAAGAGTTTTACCTTACGTGAAATACAGCATTGGTAACTATCTTAACTGGGCTGGCTGGTGCTGGGCTGAAGTGAGCATTTTCACAACAGCGTTCGGCGATCACATGTATTCAGGACATAACGTATTCCACCTCAAATTAATAGAGCCGTCTGATGCCACCCTGCAATCAAATTTGGCACTACGTCAACCCCCAAATTAATGAAACCCACTAATGCCACCCTGCTCTCAAAGTTGGCACCACGCCAACAACCGACACCACCACTGGCGGTTTCTGTGCTTCAGCACAAGATGTCTGGCATTCTGCGAACTCAGTAGTGAGGCGGTAACCCCTCGACTTACGGCGGGTATTCTGATGGTGATCTTGTTAGCCTTGATGTGGTGCAAAAGCCACCCCTCGACTTACGGCGGGGATTCTGATGGTGATCTTGTTAGCCTTGATGTGGTGCAAGAGCAACCCCTCGACTTACGGCGGGTATTCTGATGGTGATCTTGTTAGCCTTGATGTGGTGCAAAAGCAACCCCTCGACTTACGGCGGGTATTCTGATGGTGATCTTGTTAGCCTTGATGTGGTGCAGAAGCAGACCCATCCCGATGCCGACGATGTAAGGCGAAGCCCGACACCACGGTTTGATGTAGAAGTCCTCGAAAAACTGTTGCGCTTTCGGTCTGAAACATAGCCAAGCATTTACCATAGTCTATCATATCATTATAGCACAATCTAATGCGCTTATATTATGAAAGAGGCAGACGTGTGCCTGACAATCAGGGGCGTGGGAACCATGTTCAAGTTGTGAGGGAGGTAGAGAACTCCTAAATGTTAAAATGGCCCCCTAAGATTAGATAGTGGGCCCTTACAACCCGGAATGTGCCCCTTACAGTCAATAATGGACCCTCCACTGGTCATAATGGCCCCAAAGGACATAGGCATAGGACCGTTTCATAAATTGGGAGGGGGTGGGCTCAGTGTACGCTCAAGGAACTTGCAATGGGAAGCAAACCCAGTTATCGCAGGGGGCGGGGGGGGGGGAGGGCATAAAGATCGAGGGCATTCGGTCTGTCTTCACTTACCGAGCACATTTGGGAAATAATCGAATGGCACGGCTGCTATGTTAGATGTACATTTACAGCTGTTTTGCCCTGGTGCACGATCTGGTGTATTTGAATCATCTTTCTTATCTGGCAAGTAACACTACCCAGCTTCCTAAGATTTTTCGTCCATTTCAGCATTGTTTTCCTCAGGGGACGAAATTCTACGAGTAGGTGGGCGCTTTAAGCCATTGGAGAGGCGTCTTCCTCCCAAGGCAAATCTGTTACAGTCTGGTATATTATTATTTATCATTGATCGAAGGATCCAGCAGGAGTCAGGATCCAGTCTCATATTAGGTCAAAACATCCAGCAAGTACCAGGATCCTGCCCCACATTAAATCGAAAGATCCAGTAAGACCATGCATTCAGCCTGCCAATAGCTGAAAGATACGTCAAGAACCAAATTTTAGTATGATACCAAACCAAGAAAACCATCAAGAACTAAGATCCAGCGTGAAATTTTGTTGACAAATCGAGCGGAAACCGAAATCCAGCCCAGAACTATGCTAAGAGATCCAGCAAGAACCAGGATACAGCCTGGAACGTGCAGAGATCCAGCAAGAACCAATCTTTTGTCCGGAGGGATATCAGTGTAAGCAACAAGACCCAGAATTTTATGTGAGACCCCATCATCAATGATTGCCGAGGTTCAGCAAGGCATTTATCATGGGCAGCGGGTGAGCGGGGTTCACGAAATGTCATCATTCACCTTCTCTACCTCCAGTAAAAAAATACGAGTAATGCCCACTGCGACCGGTCGCGAGCTCCATGTCAATCAAACCTCTCAGAAGCCTACGGCCAGCATCGTCGCAAAGCCCCAAACTGAAAACATGGGCCGTTAGGTCACGGGCGCCAAAACTGAGTAACTACACCGCAGGAGAGCGAGCGTCCGAAGCAAAGACCTACACGAACGCCAAAACCGAATATCTACACCGCAGGAACGGGAGCGTCCGAAGCGAAGACCTACACGGGCGCCAAAGCCGAATATCTACACCGCAGGAGCGCGAGCGTCCGAAGCGAGGACCTACATCGAGTTGATGTTGAAGAACAGATCGGTGGGCGGGAGATCCTCTTGGTAGGTGATGACGGCAGGCACGGCCACCGAGCCTGCGGCCAGGAGTGCCAGCCAGGCGGCGCCTGCAACAGCAGCGCGGCCGACCTCAGCCGGTCGGGAGGGCGAGGAAGGGTGTCATGAGCTGGAGGCGGGAGGCGGGCCGGGGGGCGACCGGTGCAGGCTGAGACAGGACTCAATATTGCCGGTCATGGAGATTGGGGGACGCAGCCCGAGTGAGACAGCCAGTGAATTGACAGTTGCAGCGCAACATTCTGCTTTTGAATGAACGGTGGCTGATGTGATGCATCTTAGGTTTAGCGAAAGCTTATTAAACAGTCAAATCAAACTCGTGGCGAATTAAGTCTGACAATGACGCAAAAGTCTGGTATTGAACAAGCCATTGGTAACTCATGCAGCGATTGTGACGATTGCACTAGGGAGGAAGTGGGCCTGCTCAAGTCTCTTGCGCAAATCCCTTACCGATCTTCTTGTTGTAGACGTATGGCAACATCATGAATGGTGCAGCTAGGAATAGCTGGAAGTCTACGGGCAGGTACCAGGACTGGCCAATGCACTGAAAACATATCCGATAATTTGAACACATAGAAATTCACAGCAAAGCTCGAGAAAGACTGGCAGGGCAAACTGAAGCAGACAATGGGAACTACCCCACGCACCTGCTGTGCAATATCAACAACCCTTATCACTTGGAGGGGTAAAAATGATAGCAATCCAATGGACATGGTTTTTTATCTCTGCTCAGCCCGGTGTTTTTGTTAATTTGTTCCGTTGTGATGCACCCGTCCGCTACCTTCATATCATAACGTGGTCAACAACAGCATGACATTTGTAATGAATAACAATATATATATATATATATATATATATATATATATATATATATATATAGCAATAATAACAAATAATAATAACAAATATATTCGTGTTCTGAATTTCATTGCCCTCGCTTAATATAACTGCACTGAAGATAATAGCAAGCAGTCTTGAGACCGCTGTTGTTTGTTTGCTACTTTTACAATGTAAGAAGCTAGAAGGTAATACCCATGTACTTCTTCCAACGGTCTTTTCTCATTTTGCTGTCCTGTAACAGACTAACCCGTGCCTTGCTCAGTGAAAAGCTACGTTCAAGTGCTTGTGTGCTTACTTCGCTGGGCGACGCAGCTGTCTCTTTGAAAACATATGAAAAAGACCAGAAGCGTTCTATCTACGACTTGTTTTTGCATTGTTTTTTAATGTATTCAGCATCATTTATAAGATTTGCCAGCGGATTTGACCTCTGGCTGACTGGATGCCTCACGGGAGCCGGGTGTGATATGCTCACTACCAAAGTGACGTATATCGGTCATGCGAAACAAACTTCGTCCGTAATTTTTGTGCGGCAATAATCAAGGGGCAACGAGTCTTGCCGTGTAGGAGGATTTCTCACCAGGGGCACGCGTTTAACACGTGATCTGATAGATGGCGTTGCGCGTTGTGAACCTGCCCAGCACACCCGCTTGGCAAGCGTGACATGAGGGGTCACCCGCGAGGCACGGGGAAGGGTCATGGAAAAGCTGGACAAGCTTATCTCTCAACGTCCGTCCACGTTACAAAGCCACTCCAATGGCGAGGCCTGATAAACGATCGCTTCAAGTACGCTGTTCTAGTAACGTTGCCATCTGCGGAAGGAACCGATGCGCGTGTTTTGTCGTTCTGTGGGTATGTGATAGCGTTTTCGCTAGTTTTCATGCAGCGAAAGACGCTATCAATGTCGACGAAGTTATCAAACAAGCGGTATAGCGCGCTCGCATACCGCACACAGCGCCAGCATTCCAGCATCCTCGCCTATTGCACGCCACCGTACTGTACACATTTTATGTTATATTCGTATCCCATGTCATTTATCGGGTGTTTGCTCAGCACACGTCATGGCATCGTTCGTGTGTCGCTTGTTTGCTCATCGCGTGACATGTTATTGTTCGTGTATATGGTGTATGTGAACATTGTTTAGAGCCGATTTATTCTTATAAGATTGTTCCTACGTTAAATAAGATGTGCGCGAGAGTTTTGCTAGTTTGCTAAATGTTTCTATTTAGTCTCCAAATGCTATTGAGGAAGCCGCAGCGGTGAAACATTAGCCCTGGTTTTGTTTCCTCCCCTTTAAAGTACATACCATGAGAATGATGGCTACTGTTATGTCAGGTGTAAGTTCGGCGCTCAATCAAATTAGTGGGGGATTTATAATTACTCTTTTCCAGAGCCGCATCAACCAGCGACATTTTCGTTGGAGGGCCTTAATGACATCGCAGCTTTATCTGTTAACAGCAACGTCGCCAGAGCACCCAAACTACGGCAGAGAATGAGCCGAACTATCGACCGCGTTTCAATGTGTGTGTGTGGGCAGTTATTGACATGACGCTGATCAGTGTCGCGGCGTGACGCACGATATACGTCGTCGGCGCCTGGGGAGCAGCAGCGGTTTGCTTCAGCGAGGGTGCACTGTAAGACGTCTGCGCCATGTTGAGAAAAACCTTAATGCGACCACGCATGATTCTAATGGCGTCTCAATTCGGAATGAGTCTGATCGAGCTACTCACCAAGCTAAAGATGTCGGTGAAGTTATTGATGTATAACAGATTTTTCCACCAACTGTCCTGGCACACCTTTGCTTGTGTGTTTAGCGCACTGGCCAGACCGGGTCCGGTTCCGATTCGTCGCGCCAGGGTGGCAGTGAGTGCCACGGTAATGGCGTACACAGGAGTCAGTCTGGAAATCGACGGAATTCGTTATCTCCACACCTATGCCCACGCACTCGCTCTCTCTCCTCTCTCCCTCCCTCTCCCTCTCCCTCTCCCTCTCCCTCTCTCTCTCCTCTCCCTCTCCCTCTCCTCTCTCCCTCTCCTCCCTCTCCCTCTCCTCTCCCTCTCCCTCTCCCTCTCCCCTCCTCTCCCCACCCTCTCCTCTCCCCCTCTCTCTCCGTCCCTCTCCCACCCCCTCTCCTCCTCTCTCTTCCTCTTCCTCTCCGCTATCCCTCTCTCTCTCTCCCTCCCCTCCCTCTCTCCTCTCTCTCTCCCTCTCTCTCCCTCTCCCCCTCCCGCTCCCTCTCGCGCCCTCCCTCCTTCTCCTCCTTCATTCTCTTCTCTCTCTTCTCTCCTCCTCCTCTCGCCCTCGCTCGCTCTCTCTCTCTCTCGCCGCCTCCTCTCGCTCACTCGCCC